GGCCAGGCTGGTTCTCGCCGCGACAGTTGCCTGAGCCGCCGCGTAACGCCCGAAGCCGTTACCGCCGGAGGTCGGGTCTCCTGCCTCCTCTGTAACGTCTCCCGCTGCGCCTTAATGCGGGCCCTGGCAGCGCAGAGGGGTGCGAGAAACCCTCCTCGGGCAGCGGTTAAATGGTTGGGCCAAAAGGAAAGTTTCCTACTCGGACCCCTTTGGGGGTTTTAGTTGATGTGAGAGTACAGTGAGAGCATGAAGAGCCGGAGCTTGCCTGCACTCCCATGATGATTTTCTTTATCGTTGGTTTATTACAGATTTTATTAAATTTTTTTCAAAATCAAACATAATTGTCAGATGTTCTTTTTGCTTATGGCATGCGGTGCTCATAATTTTACACTTTGTGTGAGTAAAATGCAAATTCAATGTGAAGAATGCCTCAGTTTACATTCACCCAAAAGAAGGGATGGGGGACCTTTGGCAAAGACTTGAGTAAGCCTGCCAGGCATTTGGTGGACACCAGACGTTGGTGTTTATCTGGTGTCATGGGAGGGAAAAAGTCATGATAGCAAGCTGTGAAAGTTGTGGGCTTTTTCTTACACCCAAGTTACAGAAATACCTGTGCAGGTAGTGTGCAAGGAAAAGGAATTTGAGAAACTTTCTTAGTCGGAAGTCAGATCTTTATGGTTGAGTAGCTTTGAGGTCTTAGGTTTTAAGACCTAACAATTCAGAGAAGACAAAATAGTTACATGTCTTTAAAAGCGTAGATGTTGAGCCTTCTGCGTTTTACACACTAAGGATGCCTTCTGGTCATGGACTTTTCCATGTAATTTAGAGAACTAAACATTCTGGTCTTTTGACATGAAGGGGAGAGTCTCATGCAATTTTTTTATTCCAGTAACTCCATAAGAGAAAAAATAATAGTTGATAGTCACAGTAGTTCTCAATGCAGACACCCAGCACAAGAAACTTCAATTTTTCCAGCACAACCCAAAAGATTTTTCTGTGGAATTTTGGTACTTTGGTGCATTAGAATCACCCAGAAGTTGTGTTTGAGGGTTTTTTTTTTTCTTCCACAATACTCGCAGTTGCTAACATGTTACAAAGTTGTTTATTGTTATATGCTTATAATTTTAAGATATGTAATTTCCCACTTTTTTTTGTCTTCCAGCAAGTATTCAGTCTATTAGAAAAAGCTTGGTCTGGTTCCCCTGTGCAGTTTGCTTGGCAGAAAACTTTGGGAAATTTCCTTGCTGTAACAGGGTAAGATTACAAATATTTATTGCATTTGTTCATAGAAATCACTGATGAAGAAAGGTAATTATTCTGTATGTTAATCTTTTTTAGAGGTGATCGTGCTGTGAAAATTTTTGATCGTCATGGTCAGAAGAGAAATGAAATCAGCTTACCAGGGTAGGTACTAAGATGGGTTTAAATTATTTTCTTTGTTGTTTTCTTTAAAAATGCTTCTCCTCTGCTTATACAGTGTGAGAACTTTGTAGGAAGACACTATTTCTGGTAAACATACCTGGAAAAGAAGACAAACTGGTGAACGTGTATGGAATCTGAGACAGTAAAAGCTGAATTTATAGTAAGCTATCAAGGATAGTCAGAAAAATATATTCTCTTACCCAAAGCACTCCTTATTAGTAATAAACTCAATCTACTTCATTAAAACGTTAGAAAAAGATCTATCATATTAAGAAAGAACATCATGAGGCTGTATACAATATATCTGTGTCATGCTGATTGCGACTGCATTCTTGCTACTGTCAGTTTTTTAGTAATTTGTTATCATAGCCTTACTGAGGAAATGTATCCTTTTGGTTTAGTGCTTTTGCTTATGTCACTGGCATAATGTATACATTGGCATTTTTACTTTAGATCAAGAATGTACTTCTGAAGTGAATCTCACTGTTTTTCCTGCTTATCATGCTTTGGTTCATATCAGAGAGTGGTGTTGGAGTGTACGAACTGGATTCCTTTCAGATGAATTTAAAAAGTGGTGTACTTTGGAAGATGCAGTCTAACTGCTAAAAGGCGGTCAGTCCATAGGAACAGGCTAGATATGGCCCAGAGGAAACCTCCCTAGGTGCAAACACTGCAACATCAGGTCATCACACCATTTTGCTCTATAAATATCTTTTATTGGGCACCATTACTACCTGATATAGCATAGTTTCATTTATGTACTTCTCATTTCTTTTTAGTATTTTACCTGCTCTTAGATTAAGTATTCATGCAAATTCCTGATTTTTTATTTTATTTCTAACAACCTGATTCATTTTGATTGAGGTGGAGCCCTTAGTCAAGGCAAAACTCTCACTAAGGCTTTAAATCTGAAGCCTCTAATCTGTAAGTCTAATTTTCATTTCTAGAATGTCACTTACATATCCCTGTATCATTAGTAGATATGAGCCAGAATCACTTAGCTCCCCAAGAACTCTCTAGAAATCCAGTTTTTGCAGTTATAGAATCATAGAATAGTTTGGATTGGAAGGGACATTTAAAGGTCATCTAGTCCAACCCCCCTGCTATGGGTTCAACTACATCAGGTTGCTCAGAGCTCCGTCCAACCTGACCTTGAATGTTGCTAGGGATGGGGCATCTACCACCTCTCTGGGCAACCTGTTCCAGTGTTTCACCACCCTCATTGCAAAAAATTTCTTCCTTATGTCTAGTCTAAATCTACCCTCTTTTAGTTTAAAACCATTCCCCCTTGTCCTGTCGCAACAGGCCCTGCTAAAAAGTTTGTCCCCATCTTTCTTATAAGCCCCCTTTAGGTAGTGAAAGGCTGCAATAAGGTCTCCCCGAAGCCTCCTCCAGGCTGAATAACCCCAACTCTCTCAGCCTTTCTTCATAGCAGAGGCGTTCCATCCCCCTGATCATTTTTGTGGCCCTCCTCTGGACCCGCTCTAACAGGTCCATGTCTTTCCTGTGCTGAGGGCTCCAGAACTGGATGCGGTACTCCAGGTGGGGTCTCACCAGAGCAGAGGGGCAGAATCACCTCCCTTGACCTGCTGGCCACACTTCTTTTGATGCAGCCCAAGATACGATGGGCCTTCTGGGCTGTGAGTGCACATTGTTGGCTCATGTCCAGCTTTTTATCCACCAGTACCCCCAAGTCCTTCTCGGCAGGGCTGCTCTAAATACCTTCATCCTCCAGCCTGTATTGAACTCCCCCAGTTCATGATAGTTGCCACCTTGCACCAAACCAAGAAATGCAATTCTCATTGTCTTTACCAGACTCACTTGTATCTTGCTGACCATCGCATCTTGCTGTCTTGTTTCAAAATCCTGTTCTGGTTAGGTGCCATTCATAACGTGGGCCGGCTATGTCAGTGTCTTTTGCTTGGTAGTATCCATGGCCCAGCTCATTCTGTGCTGTATTTTGCACAATGTGTGATAAATGCTCATTCTCTCCAGCAAACTGCCAAAAGTGAGGAAGGCTGTGTGGAATCAGTGGTGAACTCTGAGAAGAGATTGTGTTGGACTGGGGATCCTCTACTGTCTACTAGGTTGGTGAGGGTGGTGTGAAGGGGAGTCTACCTTACTGATGGATACTGATAGCACTGCCTTATTGATGAACAGGTGTGACCCTTTCCTTCAGGGAAACGTAACACCTAAACCAGTTTTAAAATAATGTTGTGTTCTCATGGCAAGGCAAAGAGGAGAAAAAACTTGTATAATAACCACATATCCTAAAGGCTTGTCGAAATAATTAACATCGGCTTATGGTAGTTTGAATAGTACTGACTTTTTGAGGCCCACCAGCAAACCTTCTACCTAGGTTAGGTAGTTCTTTTGAATTCTTATTTCCAACCTTTTGCTGTGATTGAAGAATAAATTCTCTCTAATTATTACTATTAGAATAAAATTCAATTTTTGTGATATACAGTTTAAAAAGAAACAAGTGTGCTTATGTGGAGGTTCTCCCCCTCAGGCCAAACTTTGCTTCTTTATTTGTTGGTCAACTGTTAACCAGCTGCACTTGTTAACTGCTAGGCCTCTCCTTGCATAAGAATGGAGTTCAGAATGTCAAATATTTTCTGCTATAATAGTTGATATTATAAGCATCTTCTTACCATTATGTTGATGAATTTGTTTTGTTTATTACTTATCAATCTGCATTTTTCCCTATTTTTTTCTTTTTGTCCTTGTTATTCCTGCTCTTGATGTTCTGATTGGCTGTTAAGTATTCATGGGTGTGTTTTGGGAACAGACCATACTTATTCTCTAGAATAAACTGCTAAGCTTTTAAAAAGAAAGATAGGAAAAACTGGAACTGAAGGCTTACTGAATTAGTTTACAGCAATGAGTGTTTCAGGACACTTTTGAAATTGCTTGCATTAGGAGTTTTCATTTGAGTGGTAATGAGAGTCAAATTTTTCATAGAGATACCTTTTTAACCTGAAACTGTACTTATCTAGAAAGAAACGAATGGTGTCAGATGGCATAGGTTCTTAGTCTGCAGTATATGGTGCTTTAAATATGTGTTGTAAACACCACCATTTCCAATTCACTAGAGGCTTGTGGGTAAGTCTGCTGTCCTCTTCATTCTGGGAACTATTTGCAAGTAGAGGCTTTTCCTGCTTCTGCATAGGATTCTTGTCCAAGTTCATTATGCTTGTTGAACTATGAGAAAAATAATCACAACACTGAATAGCCTCTAACAAAACAGAACCTTACAGGGGATTTTCACTGTCTCTTGAAAATCAAGATGGCAGTATTTCAAGTACTAGAATGGAAGTAGCAGTCTATTTTTTACGACCTTCCTTTCAGCCTCTGTCATTTCGATGAGATTTGAGTAAGGGTGTGATTGCTATAAAAGTACACTTTACAGGTAAATCTGCAATCTGTCATGGGTTTGCTGTTAGGGAAAAGGAAGGACAGGGACTTCAACTGAATAATTCTGGTGGTTTCTGTACACTTACAAACATATTTTAACATAATTAGTGAAAGTCGTCTTTTTTTTTTCTTCAGTAACTGTGTTGCTATGGACTGGGATAAGGATGGAGATACTCTAGCAATAATCACAGACAAATCTAGTGCCATATTTCTGTGGGATGCGAACACAAACAAAACAAGCCAAGTAGACAGTGGTATGAGGTAAGAAAGTTTTTTTTGAAGTGTCTATTTGAAGACTTGGACCACTGTGGCTTGTTGTTGTGGAGGATATATTGCAAAGATCATCTTTTTATTGGAGTCCTCATAGCACATATACTGTTAAACTAATATGCTACAGTTTGTTGCTAAATTCTTTTTGGTATGATTTGCTGGTTTCGAAGTGTTTGTTGTGGGTGGGGGTTTTGGGGTTGGTAGGGGGTTTGTTTCTTTTTTAATTGTCTACAGTGCCAAAGTCCCCAGAGAGCTTCTCTTCAATGTTTCCACTTTGTGGTAGCAACAAGGATGGGTGAATTTTTTGTGCATCTGCACCAGCTACACTTTCTCCAAAGTATTTCACGCAAGTAAAAGGGGGCTTAAAAGTAAGAGAAGGGATTTTAGTGGTGCTAGGATTTTTTCCCCTTAGATTTATAAGTGGACTAAAATGCTATTCACAAAGCAGATTGGTTTAGGATCTAAGGCGATCCTACTCTAAGGTTCAAATCCCTACCTTTCTGAATTTGGCCACAGCCTTAAAACTGTCCTGAGGCCTACATAACAATCAAGTACAGGCTTAACAAATAAGCTTGGTTTAATAATTAAACTTTTAGTTTCTTTGAACCTATTCCAATAAACTCTTGCACTCTACATAAACATTCTGTCTGTAGGAAAGAGAGTGAAAACAAATCTGTCCCATGTTTGTTAGGGCATTCACCTGAGCGGAGAAACAGCTAATTTTGGATACTGCTGCTATTTTATTTACTTGAGTTGAGACAAACACTCCTTCTGATTTAACCCTTCATTTCCTTCCATAAATTTCCTCTGTGTATGTTTTTGGGAGTTTTTTGGGTGGGGTGTGTGTGTTTGTTTGTTTGTTTTAAGTAGTCAAAGATACCAAGATTGGAGTGTTTTATCCATTAAATCAAAAAAATTCAGTTCAGCTAGAAAAATTAGGGAGTGGGGGTTATGTTGGTTTCTATGAGGGTGTTTTTTTTCCAGATTTAGGTTGAAAACTCCATGTCTGAAATATGGAAATATTCCATATTTCCATTAACATGTACACTTGTGCTTTGTAAAATTCATTTGGAATATTGGATATTTGATTATGAGATAATTCCATATGGTACAACCTGGTATCCTATATGTGTATGTTGAAACTGAGCTTAAACTGTACTGAAACAAAAGAATAACTTCTATACAAGTTATTCCACTCCTGAAAAATTAAAAGAATTGCCACTTTGCACAAAATACACAGTGACTTAACCTATACATGATTTAATGAAGTTATGTTATGAAGATTGTTTGTCGGCAGAATAATTCACGTGTTAGATAACAGTTTCAAAGCAAGCAAATGATTGTACATACAAATGAGAAATTTAAAGTGATTACTTCTTCCTACTCTCTAATTAATTATATGTAGCATTATATAGGCATCTTGTTTAGGTATTTGTGGATTACTCAGTTATTTCTGAGTCATTACATTTTTGTCATTATTTATTAGTTACTACATATCATCAACAATATGCCTTTTTAGCACAGATGTTACAATGATTATTGTTTATAATCTTCTTTTCTGGTGGAATACATCAACTTTGGCATTAAATTTTTTTTTGTAAAATTTTCACAAGTAGGGGTTTGGGTTTTTTTGATAGATCAGTTTTAAACTATAGCTATTTATATAGTCAAAGCAATTTACGAGGATGTATATACACCTTATATTGCGTGAAGGAATATACCATGTTGTACCTCCTTTTCATCTGTGAACAAATATTTTGGGGGGAAGATTAACTTGCCAGTATGCAAGCAAAAAAGAGCATAGAAGGTACTTACCAGAATGGAGTATGCGGTTATTGCAGTTCCTTCATGATCTTTCTCTCTAATATCTAAGGTAAATTGCTTACTGGAGGCAGTCTTTGCTAGAACAGTATATATCAATTTAAGTGCCTAATCCTTCTTTTGTCACAGTGTTATTGCTTAAGCACTAAGAATAAGCACTAAGACATATAAACGGTGTGATAAACAGGCTTTTCTGGTATCCTTCTCTTTTTGCGATTAGAAAAGCATGAACAAAACCCGTCACATGCAAGCCAAATATATATTGGAGGTCATTTCATGTGTCAATTAATATCTGAAATTTGCTTCAAATTGCTATGGCATGCTTACAGTAAAATTTAAAAAGATGGGAGAGGCATTTGATGGAAATAACTGCACTAATTAGAAAATTCTGATTAATTTTTTTTTGCTTAAGAGGCTTTTTTGTTTTAAAATGTGATGTACAGTATTTATCTGTGTACCCTTAAATATACACCAAAATAGGCCTTGCTGTATCTGAAACTTCAGGTTAAAATGGCTCTTTCTAACTTTCTCATTACATTGACTAGAACCAGACCTATTCACTTGGAGTTGGCTGAATTCGTAGGATTATTGAAGTACAAAAAAACAATGCAGAAAGTGACTGGAAAATTTTGTGTACATTCGTGGTATCTTTGACTGTTTTTTAAAGCTGCATATTTGGCCAAATTACCCATGATTCCATCAAAAACTGTTGATGTTTGCAGACATATTTCCATTTGTATAAGTCTTATTATATTAGCTCATACAACTTTTTATTACTTTCACTATTTCGTGCACACTTAAATAATTCTGATACTTGTAGGAACGTTTGCTTAATTTAAAAATTCTGCTTGGTCTGTGTGATTTCATAGAACTTCAAAACAAATATGCAAAATGTTTTTATATGAAGCACGTGAAAGGAATCTCTACTATATAAAGTAAAATTTTTCTTTATTTTAGGGATGCAATGTCTTTCTTATTATGGTCTCGAGTCGGAACTTTACTTGCTGTTGGAACAACAAAGGGAAACTTACTTATATATAACCGTCAAACTTCTCGCAAGATTCCTGTTCTTGGTATGCATTCGTTTGAAACTAAGCTTGCACATGTGAAAGTGGAATTTTGCTAACATACTTAGATTCCTTTTTACTTCTGTATACGAACATGCAAGTCAAAAATGTGCTCATACTCAATTTGCACCTTCTGTTTTGTTGTACTTACCAGAGTATTTTTATAGTATAGTAAGTTAAAAATATATATACACATACCTGATACTGCCTCATGGGAAACTTGTGTTATCTTTCTTGCAAAGGATTTGTGTGGTTGTTCTTGCTGATAAGTTACTTTTTCTTACCTGCTTAGAGTACCTCTGGGCAGAAGGGTTAAGGATATAGCACAGTTCCCAGAAATTTGATGTAAAGAAATGGAAGAACAGGGTCTGTGCAAGTTCCTATATGGTCAAAAGACTTCCATCTGGGAGTAGAAGATTTAAAAAAAAAAAAAAAAAATTGCTCTTGAATTGGTAATTGCTCTCATAAGTTGTTTCACATTCTGACAATCTGTGTTTGAGTGGCCAAATAGAGCCTATTTCCATCCCAGATTTTTTTTGTGATTGTGTTCATTTGTGTTGTATAAGTTTGTTTCTTTTTCAGGTAAGCACACTAAGCGGATTACTTGTGGTTGTTGGAGTACTGAAAACCTTCTGGCTCTAGGCGGTGAAGACAAAATGATTACTATAAGCAATCAGGAAGGGGATACTATAAGACAGGTAGTATTTATAACCTCCATTTGATTTTAAGGCATACATTAATACTCCTGGTTCCTGAGAAAGCTGGGACCTATGGGAGCTTATGCCTTCTCAATCCCACTGCTTTCAAGGACAAGGAGCGTTTGGGAAACCTCATGTAGGATGAGGGTATATCTAAACATCTGAGCCTCTGTGTTATGCAACGTGATTTATGATATTAGAGTCTCTGCAGTTCTGCTGTCGTCCTGCCTAAACACGCTTCTCATCCTTGATCCTGATCTGTATCTGTGACAAGAGGATCCTATGAGTGCACTCTTAGGTTGACTTCCCCAGTAGCAGCACAGGACAGCTCTCACATGGCTGTTTATAAGGTCTTTAGGAAGTACTTTTAGTGTTGGTTTTGCTTTAGATTGGTTAAACAAAGATCTTGCCTCTGATGTGCAAGGATTACTCCCAGGCTGGACCTCCATTGCATGGTTGAGAGGCGGATTCCAGTGCTTCCTCCAAGTACACTCAGATTCTCTAATCAGTCATTCTGTTTGTTTACATACATCACAGTTCTTCTGAGCAATGACAGTTGCTGCACAATATGCAAATGAATATAATTCAGTTTTTTAACTTTAATGAACAGAGTTTCACTCAAGATTTTCAAAGAACAAATCTTTCATAGTTCATTTCATATGCTTCCATCTTTATGTGTGAAGGTCACAATTGGAGAAGAATGCCCTAATAAATTCATTAGGGAATGTCTGTGCTTTAAACTAGCTGGCTTAGGTAGCAGAAGCAGTGTAGCTCAGACAGCAGAGACCTAAGCAAGGCTTGCTTATGAGGTTTTGTAACCTCATATTGACTACAAAAGCAACTAGATTGCTATCTCTACCTAAACCAGATCAGGTATGTCCATATTAAAATACATGTTGAGTTTTTAACCTGTATGCCTTATTCTTAGTCTTCCTTCTTTGAATTTGCAGCGGAGTGACCTTGTTTGTACTGCTTTAGTTAGTACTGTCTGTATAATATCATCTTGCAAGTCTTCTTCCTCATCTGGATCTTTCCTTCTCTATTTGGATTTGTATTTCTAACTGTTTTCTAGATTTTTTTAAAGTATGTTCCATGATAACATGTCATTATGATCCAAACTGAAGTCATGTTTTCTCCAACTTTTTTCTTAGTTTTGATACTAAATGCAATAACAAGTCTGTCTATCTATCGATCTATTCTTAACACTAAAATTTACAGGGCAGGAATAATGCAATTATTTATCATCAGTACTTGCTACATTAACTGTTGATTTCTCAATCTGAACTTCTTTCTTGCAGACCTCAGTGAGCTCAGATCCCAGTGATATGCAGTTCTCAGTTATGAAGACTGATGAAAGAGTATCAACCAGGGAAAGCACAGTAAGAAGTCAATACAAAAAACTGCAAAAAGTGTTAATCTGATGTTTCAGGGTTTCTGCTGGCAAGCAGTATGGGCCAGGAAGCAATTTGTTCCTCCTTGACTTAAGATTTGGCGTTGAAGATTTTTTTTTTCTTTTCCAAAACTTTCCTTTAAAGTAAACCCTTTGTTCATTAAGGATGTATTCATGAAAAGTGCAGTGGTTAGCAATATGACAGATAACAGAGCAGTTTTGCAGTGGTAGTTAACATAATAGATGGAGATGTGTGCAGGGACTTAAAGAAATACATACAATATAAATATAGAACAGTACATGCAATGTCCAGATGGAAATGGAGCAGGATTGTCAAAATTGCAGAGATGCTACCTCCCAGAGGGCAGATTTCCAGCTGTCAGTTTTGGGAACAGATCACTGCTCTCTAGGTTTTCATCTTACGCAAACCTCAGCATCAATGAGACTGAAAGCCCTGGTGTGAGTCTTCTGCTGTGAGCATTATCCTGTCTCTGTCTAAATGGCTACAGTTTCATTGTCTTCATTGTCTTTCTTGAATGAATCAAAGTCCATCAGATAGGTCAATGGTGAAGTACAGAAAAATGGGGTAATGATAACTATTAGCAGAGCGTGTTATTAAATGATCAGCAATGAAATACCAAGACAAGACATAGAAAATCCATGGATAGAAAGGTGGTACTGTGTTAGAATTGGTCCAGATCTATACCCTTATACAACATAATTAAATTCTCACAGTCAATTTTAATTTATGGAGTATAGGTGTCAAGAAAGAATTTTTCCCCATGTTTACATTGACAAGGTCCTGTAGGAGTTTTTTGCCTCTCTGCATGGAGTGAAATGTTTTCTACTTCCTAGGGAAATTTAATTAACAGATATTTTGAAAATGCAGGAACTGAGGACTTCAGCCTTGATTTCTTCTGCTGCTTCCTGGGGTATGCGATAGCCTAGGCTTTGCAGGTTTTTTATTACAGCTGTCAAGTTTGCTGTAAAATATTAGGGAACATTCTGTAATTTTGTAGTTCTTGGTGTTTGTGCTTGGATGTTTGGTCAGCAGCTCTAAACAACATAGCATTTATTCTCTAGGTGTCTGTTGTTGTGGGGAGGCTTGGCTTGATAATAATCACTTCCAGGCTGTTAGTTATGACCTCAGAAAAAAAACAACCTGCAAGTTGGATCAAAATAAGTAGTACTAGAGTTAACATCTCGCCCTGCAACATAAAATAATTCCTGTAATTTCTTAGAAGAGTTTAATAGTATTTCATAAATACTTCATCATTAAGCTGCAATGGAATTATAAGCAAACTGTTTTAAAAGGCAGAAAACATACTTTTTATATTTGGGGTAACTTTAGGAATTAAGGTCAGAATTTGAGTTTGTAATTCTGGATTAGGTCAACATATGCCTTTTTTTCTCAGTTTGAAAATACCAGCTTTGTACTTCATGCTTCCAGCCCCTCTTTTAGGAAAAAAACATTGTCTCCTTTTTAGACAAGGAGAGCTGGAACAGTGGGTAATGTAAAGTAAACTTGTAAATAGCCCTTCAAAGTATCTTTGTCAAAAAATAAGATGAAACAAGCTGCTTTTCCTTGCTTTTTCTCAAATAAGTGTTTTACTCTTGCCTGACAATAACGCACGCTCTAGTAACAAAAATAATCTTTAAAAAACCCCTAAAGTTCCACCTGTCTTCCACTAGGAAGTCCAACATCGCTATGGGATTCATCAAATAAAATCTACTCACCTAGACTGATATCAAACTGTAAATATTGCATGTTTAATATACACTGATCAGGCTATTTCTTTTGGAATTGTCTGTCTTTGAAATCTCAGCAAGTTACTTGAGATAGTAGTGTTGTGATAGTCTTCCCTTCAGCCTCCCAGATAAAAATTCTGTGGATCAAAAAACACATCGTAGTTCAAGTGAGAGTAGTCCAACAGGATAACTCCATGTGACCTGCTGCCTTTTCCTCCGAGGAAATGGAGCTGACTTAATGCTTCTGTAGGGAGAAGTCTTGAATTTGAGATGTATGTTCTGCTGGGCTTGCATTTAGATCTGTGAACCACTGGCTCCTGAAAATCTCTTTCACTGTTGATAAAGATTCAGAATTCAGGTCCGTGGGATTCTTAAGGATTATTGAAAGTCCTAAATCTCATCTTTTAGTGAAGATGTAGGGCCTCATTTTAAAGTGATGCCATTCTTATCAAGTTAATTTTTCTTTTCATTCATTGGCAGGTAAGTGTAGTGGTCGGCAAGAAGACTCTCTTTCTTTTTAATTTGAATGATCCTGATAACCCAATTGATCTGAAATTTCAGCAGCCTTATGGCAGTATTGTAACCTACAGATGGTGAGCATAACTTTCTTAATTAAGCATTCTAGTGTTAACGAGCTGAAGATTTTCCCAGTAGTTCTGATAAATGCTGGAAATGATATCGTATATCCCTTGCTTACACTGTATTTTTGTTGGATGTATTATAGTCTTTTTAATAATTCTGTTCCAAACACAAAGAAGTCTACATTTTGTAATTGTTTTACTTGACAATTCAATGGTTATAAAAGCAGTATTTTCAAATATAATTGCTGTTGGTATGCTCAGCTTTAGAACTGTCCTGACAGTAGATTAAACTGAGGGTTTTATAGGTTGTTTTCTGTTTGGATGAGTAACTGATGAAAGAGCTAGGGGTAGAGTTGTATCCTTCAGCTAGTTTATTGGTATACAAAGTTGTGCAAAATTCTTGTAGCCTCCCTGCTATGTAATCGAATTGGTCATGTTCCTTTGAAGAAATCCCAATCATCGCCCTCCCGGAAGAGGAGGACCT